CCCCCTCTCCCCTCGACTTTCCGCTTTGATGCATGCTGGGGAACGAGAGTTCGATGAACAGATGCATTTGCGCAGAAACGAGTGCGAATGAGTGGCCGATAGCTGGGCCATTATTGCTTATCTATACTAAACGACGCCCGTCTTCACCAGAACATAACGCATGGCCATTATTGCTTTTATTGCTTATCTCTACTAACGACGCCCAAAATACGTCTATAATGACTGTGCGTTCTATTTGGCGGACGACGGGTTGTAGAGTACGTATACCTCGCATGCAACACGAGTTAAAGAGAGTAAAAGTACGAAACCTTGCTCGGCCTGTTGTTGAAGAAGATGAAGTTAACAGCACATTGCTCCACTTGATCCTAGCCAAAAGGCCGGGCAAGGTATCATCCTGAAACCACCAGTACTTGGCCCAGCTATTGGCCGTGGAAAAAAATAGAGTAGAAGTAGAAACCTTTCTAGTTGGATGAATTTGGGCGCTCCTGTAGTGGCCCGTACGTTTCCTAAGATCGTGGTGCGTTAACGGGCACGAATTTAGGAAGTACTGGTGGTTTAACTTCACTTGATGTTATGTTAGCCAAAACACCTAAGTGTTGGCTGAGATCAAGTGAACCGTACCTCTGATCACTTTAAATACTACCGTCTTCACACGAATAGAACACCCGGTCATTATAGCTGTATTTTTCACAACTTTGTCTAACCCAGTTAATGCGAAAACAATGAGAAAAGGTGCAAGATGAGCTAAATACATGATACCTCCCATAGACAACATAGTCCAAGCAAAACCACTCAAAATCTTCACTAAACTATGACCAGCCATCATATTGGCAAATAAATGTATTCCTAGACTTAGTGCACGAAAACAATAAGAAATTAGTTCAGTTGTTATTTATGCGGCTGTCAAAGGTTATTTAGATAAAATTCAGATTTCTCAAATTCTTGAATATGAACAAGAGTTGTTGAAATCAATTGATCCTTCGGTCCAGATGCAGCGATAATGACCGGGCGTTCTATTCGGTTGAAGACAGTAGTATTTGAAGAGAGTAAGGATGATGTGACCGATGGATCGAACGAACGCACGTACGAACAAACGGACGGACGGAGTAAATGAATGAAACGAATGAATGGAATGAATGCATGAATGAATAGAATGAATGCATGAATGAATAGAATGAATGCATGAATGAATGAGCAGAGTACTTGTGAATCAAGGAAGTTGAGCCCACTAACACAGTATGATAGCAGGACGGGGAAGCTAAGAAGGTAGTTACAGGGGAGGAGAGAGGATGATGGGAAATTGGGGCCCAGCAGGATCGGGGGGATCTTAGCGGGATGGGGAGATCCCGGTACGGGGATCCTGTTGCGGGCAGAGGAAATATGATCCTGTTTTTTTAGGATACCAGCGAGTATGAAACGGACTCGAGAGTTTTTCTCGAGGTCTCTTTTTGTGCACGTATGTCTGAAATTTGACAGCTTTCCTGTGAATTGTTCCGAGCTTACTTCTGTGTATAACAGTTAATTATATGCCTTACCTACCTTCATCGTTTCTCTAAGTACCTTCCTTTGTTTGTAGAATATGCAAAAACTTCAAAAAAGTAGAAAGCTAGAAATACCCACCAGATCCAACTACCTTCAACGACAACTCTCGACTTACCTCGACCCAGTTAGTCTGCCTCTTGATGGGGATTCGTAGAGTCCGAGTACCTGCCTTTGTTTGTGGAGTGGAGTAGTGTGGGTGGATGGTAGCTTGCTCTGTGTGGGTGTTTGCTCCTTCGAAGGAGGGAGAGGGGGCGAGGGCCTTCTTGAGGTATCATGCTAGAACTGACTGGGTCTAGGTAACTTAGAGCTGGCTGTCCTTTTTGGAGCGCCAGGATTCGAACTCGGATCTGTTTATGAACAGCTGTCTTCTTCACCCGCCGAATACAACGTACGGTTGTTTATAGCTGTATTTGGGGTATCTTTCCGTCTAAATACAGGAATAATGACCATGAACGTACGTTGTATTCGGGTCAACAAGGTAGTACATGGGTGTACCTGTCATTCAGCCATGTGGGCTGGGTGTGATATGTATGGAAGGGATAAGTTTTTTTCCGGGGAGAGAGATGGGAGGTGGAGGTGGTTGGGAGTGTGTAGTAGGAGGAGCGGTGTACTAGGTGGTGGTCAAGGATGCATGAATATTGACGGCTAGGTTCAAACAGCTCACAGGGGTGTAGATGCTCTCTGTTTTGACAGTCGATGCCGACTGTAGCGAATGAACGAGGGTCAGAGGATATGTGTAGGCTATGGCATTCTTTGGAGTGAACATAGCCGTAGTTGTGGTCAGATACAGGAGTGAATATGGACATAATTGTTTGTCAGATACCACAACCACCACTTCAGGTGGCTGGCGCCACTCCGTTCCTGGCTCTTCTCGGCACCATGCAGCATTGCAGTGAGGGTCAGAGGATATGCGCAGGCTATGAACATAGCCGTAGTTGTGGTCAGATACATGACTGAATATGGACGTAATTGTTTGTCAGATACCACAACCACTACTTCAGGTGGCCGGCGCTGGCTCTTCTCGGCACCATGCAGCATCGCAGTGACCGAACTCTTCTGGTGCTCAAAAGCGGCCACAACTGTTATAGCAGCTTTTGGCGGACGCCCCCCGGCACGGTGATCATGGCTGTTGGTAGTCTGATACTATTTTTAGCTTGAGCATGCTGTCCGGTTTTAGAATGTTCTTTCGCCCGGCGAATAGAACGCCTGGTCATGGTCATTATAGCTGTATTTGGGGCAACATTCGGCCTAACTATAGCTATAATGACCGGGTGGGCGTCCTATTCGGGTGAAGGCGGCAGGCGTTTCCAGCCCGTGCTACCCCGGGACTGTCCCGAAGAAGCTCTTCAACAGAAGCTGGATCCGAAGTTGGACGCCCCCTGGTAATTCTTGCACAGGAGATACCCCTCGTGTGACCGCTGAGCGTGGCCCTTGAAAAGACATGCAGGTTTACCACTGAAGTCCATAACAGTCTGACAGTGTGTGAACAGGTGTAGGTAGGACTGTACGTAAGAGTGTACGAGTGTTTTTCCTTTCTCTCTCTCTCTCTCTCTCTCTCTCTTTTGTTCTTTCTTTCTTTCTTTCTTTCTCTCTTTCTATCTTTCTTTCTTTCTCTCTTTCTTTCTTTCTCTTTCTTTCTCTCTCTCTCTCTTTCTTTCTTTCTTTCTTTCTTTCTTTTCATCTAAGTTCGAATCCGTGTTGAATCAGGTCTGCATTTCAAGAGTAGTTCATTCATGGGTGTACCAACTGAGCTAGGCCCGTGGGTGTTTCTTGGTGATTTGGACAGTGAAGTTGTGTGCAGCCGTAGCGTACTACTCCCACTGGAGGGAGTTCTACCGTCTTGACCCGAATAGAAGGCCTGCTGATTATCGCTGTATCAGGACTGTAAGTTCCACCAAATACAGATATAATGACCGGACGTTCTATTCGGGTGAGAAGACGGTAGGTTGAATCTCTTTGTCTTTTTTTTGAGGCTAGATATGATGAGGAAAGTATAAGGGTGTGAGTATGCCCCTTGGCAACGAGCACAGTGCAAGGAGGCGTCCTTGTGTTCTTTCTGGGCTTGAAGGGACACCCAACGTTGGGTCTGGGAGAGGGTTGCAGTAGTAGTTGATTCCGAGTCGGAATCGCCGCCGCCGCCGCGCAAGGTGAGGATGGCCGGTGCTGGAGAGCTGGGCACTGATAACTGCTGCACGTGGATTGGATTGGATTAATTTTGAGAACCCCATACTGAGTGAGATTTTCAGGGGACAAATACCCTTCCCCCCCCCCCCCCCCCCCCCCCCCCCCCCCCCCCCCCCCCCTCAGAATCTCTCCTTTGCTGCAAACTGTATCTAGACTGGAAGTTCCACCAAATACAGATAGAATACTGTAAAACCCCTTGACAAGAAATCTGAAAAGCAAAAGGAGAGATGGTTGGGGGGGAAAAAAGAGACTGTTTTGCCCCCCCCCCCCCGCAAGTTGCAGCGGAATGACGACAAAATGTTCCCAGTTTGAATCCAACAATGTGCAAGGACCAATGTGGTCCGTTCATCTGGCAAAACAGTGGAAGGAATTGAAACTTACCTTCTTCCAATGCCTGCCTGCCTGCCTGCCTGCGAAGTGTGATGAGCTCAAGCATGGGGCTGTTTATCTTCAGTGGACTTGACCCTTATCTTCTACCAATGCTTGCTTGCCTGCAAAGGCATGCATGGCAAAGAAGAAGAAGACCCTTTTGGTGCACATCCGAAAGTGTGACGAGCTCAAGCATGGGGCTTTTGTGTGGCGCAGGTATATATACTGATGATCGGATCTGGATCTGGATTTCAACGGGGAAGAGGGCCTCATCCACCAGTAGCATATATTGCCGTCGATGAATGAGCATTTATCTCCTGGGTCCATCTAAAGTGCCTGCACACACTCTCTCTGAGGCAATGGCCTCCAGGGGCTGTACCTCCTTGGCGTTGACATTGCAGAGTCTGACGAGGGTTGGCAGTGCTATCAGGGAGATCACCTGCAGCAAAGAGATGTCTAGAGAAGTGGCTCGTGTCAAATCATCATCCCATATTCTCTCCTCTACCTTCAAGGCCTACCCCTGGATCCCTGCGCTGGTCTATCATCTGTCCGCCTTGCATGCCGGGGGCTGTCTTTCCTGTGTCAGGCTCCATTGTCCTCCTCACAGGCCATCTGGCCACAATTGTATTCCCGAATGCAGACCTTGCGCTTCTTTCCTCGATTGCTCGCAGATGCTGATGTCGGGGCGACCGGGTCGGAGTGTGGCAACAGTTTTTCTGAATCAGGATCGGGACCAAGGGGGAAAAGGGCATCGTTCCTTAAGGACTCGTTCACACGAGCTCTTGTCGGAGGATATGGCGGTTGTGCTTAATGAGCATGATGATGCTGTTGTCATCCAGGGAGGGAACGCAGAAGAGCTGCAGCAGGGAAACTGGCCTTGTGTTGGAGAGAGGGATCATTCGAATGACAGCAGTCTGTTCCGATCGTGGCAGGAAGAAGTAGAGGGAGGGAGGTCCATGATGACGGAGGTGAAGGACAGAAAGTGGAGACTGCAGGACACTTACGTGTCCGGCTATGGTGGTAGATGGCCAGGAGGGAGAGATGGCAGTGTGGTGGTCCTAACAACAGAAACTGAGAAGAAGAAGGAACAACAGCTGCAGCAAGAGGCAGGCATGAGGGTAAGTGAGAGTGAGGGGTGGATGGAGGAGGAAGCGGAGATGGGTGGAATTGCTGTGGGGTCGCCAGGGGGCAGGAAGGTGGTGGATTTTATTGCCACATGGGATGCATTGGCGCCTCGACTGCCGAAGGATGTGATCAGGAGTCCTTCGGCTGGGATTTTGCTTGCTGCCCTGAAGCTGGTCGTTCCAGCGCTGCAGGATGCTGTTGTGGTAGAGGGAGGACGCCTGCGCGTTGCCCGAGCATTGTCGCTCGCGATGACCCTGTCTGATCTGCAGATGGATGGGGAGACGATTGCCACCGGCCTGGTGAGGGAGGCATTTGAAATGGGAAGAATAACAGTCAAGCAGGTGGAAGATCATCTGGGGATCACAGTGAAAAGACTATTGCAGGACTGCATGAAAGTGCAAACGATTCCTGCAACGTTGGATCTGCACGATGAAGAGAATGCAAGGGCACTTCGCCGGTATTGTCTTTCCTTTCATGATGTCAGGGCGGTGATCATTGAGGTGGTGTCAAAACTGGATGTGATGCGGCACTTGCAGGTGGACTCGGTCCCACGCTACCGAAGCATCATCGTAGCCCTTGAGACCATGCAAATATATGCGCCGATTGCACATTCAATTGGCCTCGGGAGAATCGTGTGGGAGCTGGAGGACATTGCGTTTCGCGTGCTCTTCCCAGGATCTTACGACGCTCTCGCTGCCTGGGTTCGAAGCCAGTGGGACCTGGGACCAGAGGCCATGATAGAGACATGCCGGAAGCGCCTGGACGATGAACTGCGAGCGGACAAACAGTTCATGGCGAAGGTGGACTCGTTTGTCGTAACGGGCCGTGCGAAGAGTCTCTTCAGCTTGATGCGGAAGCTCCTCAGGGATGGTCGTGATAAGCGTGAGGTGTATGATCTTCTAGGACTCAGAATTGTCGTGACACCAAAGGTTCTTCCTCCGCCCGATGAGGAGGAGGAGGTGGGGGTTGGTAAGTGTAGCAACCCGCTGAGGGATAGGGAAAGGCAGAGGGAAAGGGAGAGGGAGGCATCCGTATGCTACTATGTAAGGTCGATCGTGAAGCGGATTTGGGAGGAGATTCCTGAACGATACAAAGATTACATTGGAAAACCTAAGAAGAACGGGTATCAGAGCCTGCACATGGCAGTCCATACAGACCCAGGACATGTGAGCCCCCCGCTCGAGTTGCAGATCAGGTCGGCTACGATGGACTTTGTTGCCGTCTCTGGGGGTGCTGCTCATGGTGCCTACAAGGGGGGAATTACTGACCCCCAACAAGTGAAGAATTTGCGGATGCTCATGGACGCTCTGGTGAACGCTTCCACACCATCACAGTTGAAAACCGCCGCCCCGTTTCCCAGGGATGAAGCCGAAGCCGTTGTCGCGGAGCCCATGGGGACTGCGGTGCAGGCAATGGATCCCGCACCTGCCGTCACGTGGGAGATGCCTGAGGAAGATGAGGCTGGGGATGCAGTAGATCATGTATTTGCCCTTTTTGACAGGAATGGGGATGGGGTGATCAGCAAGGAGGAGTTCAAGCAAGTGATGCACGAGCTTGGTGCCCCTGGCACGGAGACGGATGTAAATGAGTTGATGACCATCGTCGACAGCAACACCGATGGGACCGTCACCGCAGAGGAATTTCAGGAATTCCGCCGTCAAGCCTCTGTGCTGCGCAACCTGAGTGGCGCCGATCAGTTGTACCAGAACGAGATCAGCAGGAAGCTGCAGTGCCTCGATGAGGGTTCAGAGTGAGATGTTGTAGATGATGCTACATCATCCATCAGCTAGGGCCATGGACTATCACCATGTAAATGGCTTTCATTTGGGTGTGTACCGACGACATCAGAGGCCTCTGTGCTGCAACACCTGAGTGGAGCAGCTCGGCGGCCATTGACATCATGTAAATGAATTTGGTTTGCGCGTTCCGATGTCAGAGGCCTCTGTGCTGCGAAACACCTGAGTGGGGAAGATCGAGAACGAGCGCCGCAGGAAGCTCTGGGGTATGGGCTGTATCTGATGCTGCATTCGCCGGGTGGGGCCATGATGGACATCGTGTAAAATGGATTTGGTTTGGGTGGGCTTGGACCGTTGATTTGCAGTCCACCTCTTCTGCTGCCCAGGTTATTTCTGCCAATTTTAATGGCAAGAGTCTCAAGACAAGAAAGTTGGAAGGATAACATTTCATGGCTCTGCATGCAGTCAAAAATTAACTGGACAGTCAAAAATTAACTGGACAGTCAAAAATTAACTGGACAGTCACACTCCCATTATGACAAGGATGGAGAGGAGTAGCACGGGGGGGGGGGGTGACATTGCATCCGGAGGGGTTACGTGCGATAGCGACCGACAAATGTTTCTTGCGAGATTCGGGTTGGTGGCGATGCCTGCAGCTGGGTCACGTCAAAGCACGGTGTGATACGGCAACAGACGGAAGTTTGTTTGTGCAGGTTGAGGGAGTATTGGGGTCGCGACATCCCGCTACCAGTCTGTGTTGAAGGAGAACAAATGTGGGAGGTAAAGGGCCCTTTACAAGGGGATGGAAAGTTGGGGGATGCCAAAAGTCAGCACAGTACGCAGTCTTGGTTNGTTGAAGGAGAACAAATGTGGGAGGTAAAGGGCCCTTTACAAGGGGATGGAAAGTTGGGGGATGCCAAAAGTCAGCACAGTACGCAGTCTTGGTTAGGATAACAAAGGAGAGACCCCTCGAGCTCCTGCTGCAGCAGTGAGTAAAGATGGGTATTATTGTTGTTTGTGCCCGCACTGGGGAGAGTGATCGTTAGGGAGGGAAATACTTGATCGTATTGCCGAGAGCCAGTGGCAAAAACCTCAGCGCCAAAGAACCGGGCTGTTTTTTTTGAAGTCGATAGCTGCTCTGGATGCTGATGCAGGCTCACTCTTCCAACCCAGGAACGAGCTCGACGACGGTGATGTCTTCAGCCAGCAGTGGCGGCTGTCATTTGGACAAAGGGAGTGAACATCTGTGGCCTTGTTTGTTGTGTGGGGTTAGAAGAAGAGTGTCATGCTGGCTGACTGACTTAACTGTCGGCGTAAGAGGTGGGAAATGTTTTGGCAACGTCGACTTCAAATTTCTACTACGATATAACAAGCTCGCGGCGAACAGTACAGTTGCTCATTTTTCAGAACGCGCGGGGAAATGTGCCTGGAGGTGAAAGAAAAAGTCCTTTCTGCCGGCGATAATGCAGAGGTCGAATTCCCGTCAGGCTGGAGTAATCTGATGCAGTGTGGTGCCGAGCTGCAACGTGTTGGCCGAACGCACGCCAAAAGGGAACAACCCGCCTCAGCAATGCACACAACTATACGATTTGCCGTCCAAGCTTGAACTCTGAACGATCCTGCTCGCCACCGGGTAGCTGTAGTCGGTTGGGGATTGGTTTCGTCCCCGTGAGATCTGGGGTGCGAGTTTCGAGTTCCAGTCTACATTTAGTCTGGTCCCCTCCAATGAGGCCCAAGCTAATCGCTACTACCAGCAGTGCCATGCTATTTAGGTCTGACTCAGTAAGGTCTTCCACAATAATATTCACGCTGACTGCTCTCCTCTGCAGCAGGAGGGATGGCTTTTTTGAGGGCAGCCTATTGGTGGTTGCAGACAGTATTATCTCGATCGATCGATCGATTGTGATAGTTGGAGAGGATCTACCATTAGTGGTTTATATGTGGAATGAGGGCTTATCCTTATGTGAGCGCCTTTGAGGTTCAGCATAAAAGGGGGGGCTATATTTTGTACGAGGGTTTGTGTCAGACCTTCAACTTGACGCCCGAGCACTAGTCAGTTTTGTGGAACAACGCACAAATTGGCTATATTGGCTATTGGCTACTGGCTACTGGCTACTAGCTATTTGACAATTTGTAGCATGCTCAGGAGGTCTCATTTGATTCATGTAAATACAGTTTCGGAGTCAAAAGAGTCGGAAACTATAAAAGCATAGAAAGTGTTGAGCGCAGACTCTAGAGGAGCATTGATTCTATAGTTATTAGCTGTGCAGATTTGCCACACACACAAGGTTTTTTTTTTTTTTTTTTTTTTTTTTTTTTTTTTTTTTACATGGTTACATGGCACAGAAGTTTGATGATACTCTACATTGGGGTCCTTGTTTTTTTTGTAACACTTTATAAGGCTGTTCCTGATTATTTGAAAGTTGAAACTACTATCATGGCCACATACTCCTTCATTCGTACCTGAATGACAGCTTGGACAGTGATACTGAAATAACCTTCGTGTGTGTCAATTGCAAATCTCAGCAGATTCAGGCCAATGAACATGATAACAGTGAGAATGAAGAACAGGTTGCAGGGAGCTGTTAAATTTGCTTCGAGGAAGACCGGCGCTACTAATTATTATTACAGTAATAACAAGTGCGCGTCGTGCGTGGGGCATTCGTTAGGGAAGTTAGACCGCCAGTACCTCCATGTTTTTAGGCAGTTAACACGGTGGCTGAATCGGTGTGCCGAGCGGGTCCGTATGCATTTGCGTCAGAGCCTCCTCAGAGGGGGCCTAAGACCCCCTGGGGGTACTGGTGGTTTAAACCACCACTACCTGCAGGCCTCCGCATTTCAAGTAGTAGCCTACAAGGTGAAAGTGTCAGGAGGCGCTGCTGGACCCGCCGTCGATAAATTTTCCATCGGCGCCATCGGTGCATTGCAGGTCTCCAGACTTCGTGGAGCCTTTTCAACGACAGACGTGCGGCAGGTTGTGGTGGTTTAACCGTTTAAGAAAGAATGGCCGCAAAAGGGGTGGAGAGGCACTTAAAACTTGTAGGAAGAAAGGGTCATGAGCATGTTGGCCAGGATAGAGGAGGATTTCGTGGGTGTTATAGAATTGAGGGCTCCGTTTAGAGAGATCGGGTTGAGTAACCAGGGGACTGAGTGCAAGCTCACAGTCAGGCAGGTAGGTGCGTGGACTAAAAAAAAAACAAAACTTGGCGTGGACTTATAGATCTACACGTGCCACATGCCCATTTTGGGGGGGAGATGCTACCGGTAGAATGATCTGTGGGCCTTATCGGAGTGGAAAAGGCGTGGAATAGAAGTGGGTTGGAAAGATTCTCTGCAAGGGACTCCCTTATGGGGGAGCTAGACCCCTTATTACTGCCGTTCGAGGAACTTGGATGTACACCGTGTTTATTATTATTATTATTATATAATATATCGTCAAATAGAACTGCCCGGTAAACCGTAGGCAGAGAGGGAGAAGAGGACAACAAACGAGGGGCTGTGACAATATAATGTATACTATGTTTTTGTAGCTAGTACATTCTTAGTACTTTTATTTCTGGTGAGGATTTCACACACCCTTATAGTTTTATATCCGGAGTAAACAAGGGATGACACTCTGCATCAATGGAACGGAGCAGTTGGCAACATGGCACCCTGTTGAAGGGCATACTCGCAGTAGGACCTTCTGGACGAACCTGGCTGTAACTGCGGTGAAGTGCATCCAGGATAGTCCCAGTGTGGGTATGGCCGAAGTCATGACACATTTTGCCGATTGTCGTTCTTCATTGTTCTCCCCAACTTCTGCATTCTAGTAGTTCACTCTTGTTTGATGTGGTTTGACAGCACATCTCACAAAATCCTTTCTTGTACTGTTCTCTCTGTTTGGTGTTTTCTGTTGTCGACTTTGCGATTGCACCCGTGTGCTTTTTTTTCCCTCCAAAAGGAAAACAGTTTTTTTCTAGGCTGCCCCGGCGCCCGGCCGGGCGGACCCCGGCCGGTTGGGCCCGGGGGGGTCCGCCCGGGTGAACCGGGCGACGCAAAAACAGGGCCAGGATTTTTTTTTTTTTTTTTTTTGTGGTGGGGCTGTGCTGCGCCTGTCTCTTATACACATCTAGATGTGTATAAGAGACAGGTTGAAATACAGACCCAAGTTCGAATCCAGATGGGCCTAGATGTATGCAATGAAGGTTGTTTTTTTTTTTTTTTTTTTTTTTTTTCAATCAAGTAATTCTAAGTTACCTGGGGCTGGGGCTGGGGCTGGGGCCAACAACGCGATGATGATATCTCAATGCCCTAGTTCAAACTCCACTGGATTGGAATACAGACCCTAGGTAGTTCAAACCCCAGTGGATTGAATTGAAATACAGACCCTAGGTAGTTCGAACCCCAGTTCGAACCGCAGTGGATTCAGGGAGCAGATGAGTGAAATATAGAAAGAGGAAGGAGAAAAGGAAGGGAGGGGGAAAATAAATAAATAAATAAATAAATAAATAAATAAATAAATAAATAAATAAATAAATAAATAAATAAATAAATAAATAAAATTCCCGTGCACCAATTGGTCTTAGCTCAGCAGTTGGTACACCGCTGATAACTCTCGAAATATAGACCTGAGTTCGAACTCCACTGAGAGCAAATGACGAAAATACAGAGGTGAGATCTGAACTACATAGGCCCGGTCAGCTCGACAATGATACCTCAAGGTCTGTTGCTTTAAAAAAAATAAAAAATAAAAAATCCGCGCTACCCAGCCATGTGGCGGCAGGGGTGGGGTGGATATCATTCCACTTTTGAACACCGTGTCCTGGACAGGCTCTTGAGGCCGAGGTCCCTCGTTCCAATCTGTGCTTGCACGGAGGAGGGCTTGGGCCCAGACGTACGGAATCCGTACTACTGTGGAAGCGCCCGTGAACTGCGGGCATTGATAAGTCCCGTCTGAGTGAGGGGGTAAGAGTACCAGCGGGGGTTACGTGCTGACTACAGAGGGAAGTGTACGAGAATTGCGGGGTTACGT